ACTGTTGATTACTGAGCATGATCAACCCACTTCCTGTTTTAATTCTAACGATCCAAAAGAATTTGGAAATACTCCTCATATTGTAGACACTCAGTTGTTATCTTCGTTTGACGACAGTATTAGTGTAACAATGGATGCCAGTCTTTATTTCTTTTTGCACGATTTGATACTGAGTTATATGAAAGAAAAGCAATCGACTGGTAAAAATTTTCCGATTTCCGAATTATTTTTTTTTTATTTTATGATTTTTTTAGTTACTAGAGTAAATTTTTAGTGTGAATGAAAGCCTTAAAAAATTAACTTAAATTTGAACATATTGCAAGTATTTTGTAATTATATATTAATTACGCAGGAGGATCTAGATTGTCTCGTAAATTAAACGTTGAGACAGCTGAAGATTTGATTGAGTCTCGAAACTCATCTATAGCAACCGAGTGCAAATACAGGGAGTTCCGTTCCAAAGGATGGAAAGTAGAGCCTCGTGTCCGATTTTTAAGTTGGGCAGGACAGCAAATGGATCCCGTGAGCATTGATTGGGTTTTGGAAAAGCTTGGCTTTATGCATGCTGCTTTAACAATACCAAAATGGGCACAAAGAGGAGCGCTGGATCCGTTGGATCTAACTCTTGCTCGCTTAATGGAAAAACTTTTAGCTTATACAATTAAAGAGAATATTAAATAGACTAAAACTAAATCTATTTTATAAAATGCATGATAAATATATATATATATATATTTTTTTCATCATCATTTTTAATGCTATTTTTGCTTGTTTTTTTTGTTTGTTTGTTTGTTTTTTTACTTTAATTATTTTTTATTTATTTTTTTTCCATTAAAATTTTTTAATTTCAGTATATTGCGTCACACGTGATATTCTTTTTATGTGCCGATAACTAACTGAAAATCTTTTTACCTAAAAGGAATAAAATGATTGAGTAAAAAATATCAATATCTTTACTTTATTGCGCAAGTATTAGATCACAAATTAGTTCATAATATTAGTAAAACCACTCTCGGGGTTGAAATAATTGCTCCCCTTTTACCATAAAAGGTTTTAGTTAACATCGTTACTTTTAATGCTTAAATTAATCAAATAAATTAAATTGTATTTATAAATAATAAATATAGAAAGATTGCAATTTTTAACTTAATAAAACGTTTTTTATCAAAGCTTGAGACTTTTTTTTTGTCATTTTATTTTATCATGTTCCATAGAGAATCTTTAATTAGTTATCTTAAGATAAATAGGTATTAAGATAAATAGGTATTCAGAGGTAATTAGCCGTAAATTTTCTAGTTAAACAATAATCAAAATTATAGATAATAAAAGAAGTTATCAGATAATAGGAAATTCCACTCTTTTCTGGTTCTCTTCTCTGTTCTAGCAAAGACGTATTAATGGATGGACGTTTAACTCACATTGTTTAAAAGCCAAGATATCTGCTCTGTCAATTGTTATAAATGACAATAGCAAAACAATAAAAAAATATTTGTGTCACTTTTATATGAATATTGATAAAAATGACATTTTAATCTATATTCATCTATTTAATTAAATAAAAAAACTTATAAAATATATTTTACTATTTTATTAAAAACATATATATATATTTAATTAACCTCGTATAATTCCTGTATAACTATGTAACAAAATTTTATGATTTTAGAAAAACTTGTAAAAAAATTTCTAAGAAGGAGAAATTGCAAAACGAAGTTGTGAGACAAAAAAAAATTGATTTCCGTCAAAAATGAGAAGTTTAAATCTGTAAGAGATTAGCAAAATCAAAATGTAGCGAGTAGCGATTGCCAAAAACCTCTATTTCAATCTATAATTGATCTATGATATGACCTACAATTCGTAGAAAATTCATACAATATTCATATATCATATATTGCATTTTTACAAAAACATCGCAGATCAATATGAGATCGTTTTTCGAACTCTGAACCTTCTGAACTTTTTTTTAAAGAAATGGACGTCTTAAATGTTTGATGTGTTGAATGTTTTGTGTTTTATGTACAAATGCAAAGAACTAATGGCCCCCGATGTTTTTGTTATTCTTTACAAAATTATACCCCAAAACAAATATAACTTACAGTCGTATGACAGTTTATTATGACCACCCAATAAATTTTAACATACCTTGCTTATCTTTTGTTTTCTTGGCATTATAGTTCAAAATTATATAATTTAATTTATTTGGATGCATACAATATAGTTATACGTTGACAAAATTATTTAAAATTTTATGCTGGTGTAAACACTGTCATTTTTGACAGCCATTTTGTGTGACGCCATCTTGAAACCGCTATTCTTACAGTGCACGTGGTGAATACTCTCTGTTAGTTTTGGTATATTTTTCAAAGTTATCATTAAAGTAAGCACTCAAATCGACTAATATTACTTTAAGAATATTACATTACATAAATTAACATAAAAATATTTTTATTTCACTCAGTATTTTGTGATTAAAATTATTTTAAGTAATAATAGAAATTTTCGTACTAAAATTGGTTATTTTTTTAGAAATAGGCAAAAAAAAGGACTTATCTCTAGAAAAAAAAAGTGAAATCCAAGCACTTCTTACACATACTGGTTTTTCCTAAAGAGGAATCACCAGAAGATGTAATGTTTCTAGAGTGTCAGTGCAGAATATCCAAAAAAAAAATTGTCAACATGGAAAACTAAACTCCAAAAAGGACTGGGAACTGTGGTAAAAAAAGAATTCTTACTCCACGAGGTGAAAGAATTCTTACCAAAATAGTATTGGAAGATAGGCTAGCAACAAATGATGATATCACTGAGAAGTTGGAGAGCTCTGGTATTAAGATGTCCAAGAGAACGGTTCAGCGTCGTCTACACGATCTTGGCTACAGCTCAAGACGTCCGGCTAAAAAGCCAAAATTAACGCCAAAAATGATGGAGAAGCGATTAGAATGGGCAAAAAAATATAGAAGTTGGACTGAAGACGATTGGAAAACGGTATAACAGATTATTTTATTAAATAATACTTTAAATTTTTTAGATAATCCATGCATTGTGGTCAATGAACCATCGTATAATATTTTTAGGTTTTCTTTAGTGATGAGAGCACGTTCCAAGTCTTATCAAAAAAAGCACAATACGTGAAAAGGAAGGTTGGAGAGAAATATTTAAGTAGCTGTATTATTCAAACCGTCAAACATCCAACCTCGGTGATGATTTGGTCGGTTATTTGTGGGAAAGGAATGGGAAGGCTGTACATTGTTCAAGGGATAATGAACCAGGTGCAGTATAAAAATGTCCTGGAACAAAGATTGTTACCCCAATTGACGGAATGGTTTGGTCCAGAGGAAAAAAAAAAAAATGCAAGATGGAGCACCATGCCATACGGCATAAGTCTATCAAAAAATTAGGTCGTATTATTTTATTCAAGAGAAAAGGTCCACGACAAGATATACAAAATTGAACTTGCTTATTTTTACATATAGGTTTTTCTAGAATGCTATTTATACGTACAGTCGTATGACAATTTATTATGGCCACTATAGAAAATTATATATATTTTTTAAGAAGACCACTTGTCATTCGCGATCTCAAATAAGATTTAACTCTCTTTAATGCTGAAAATGATCTCTCGGCTGAACAATTGGACGTATATAAATATTCTTAATGCTATATCTACATAAGGAAACAGCTCTTGAAGTTTTTCAGCTCTGATCATTTTATAAACATCTAGTTTTAGGTCGTTTTCAGTTAAACTCATTAAATAATTTCTGAATTGTATACACTCATTAGCAAATGAAGACGAAAGATCATTTTTATATTTTGAAGACTTCTGCTTTTTTGTAAACTTCTAATGGCGAAAGTTTTATGATTTGAAATAAAAAGTTAAATTTTTTATTGGCTTCCTCATAGCACAATTTTCTTCTTTCTAGTTCAGAATGAAGTTTATCAATTATAGCATAATATGTATTAATTCTTGGAAAGTCTCGAATTTTAAAATTTGTTTTTTTTTCTTCTCTTTTTTCATCTGCAGTTTGTTTTCTTTTTCTTTTGCGTATTTTTCGATATGTTTTGTGTCCCAACTTATTAATTGCTCCCTCTTCATAGATATCAAACATACTCCTTAAATCTAATAGATATCGAATTAAAGATTCGTATAAACTTACAACTGTTTCTAAATCTCAACTGACTGTAATTGTTTACTAGTTTTGTTGAATCTCTCTAGTATATCGCCCCATTCTGCTAATTCTTCAAATTTATGACCAGAATTGGGTAAAAACCCTAAAAATCTTTCTACCGGACAGCCATTATTTTGAACATACCGACAAATGAATGACAGTTGATCTACATGGCTAATGTCAGGAGTAGAATGAATACTGATGGAAAAGTATTTAGCTTTCTTTATTTCTTTCACCATTTGTTGAATAACGTTATCTGCCATTATACTTATGAACTGCTCATATATATTAAATGATAGGTACAATGTTGAACCTTTTCCTTTATTTCCAATCTTGTTAATGTGTTGTGCTAAAAAAGGATCAAACTGAGCAATGAGATCATCATAAAGTTCCCATTATGATCCAAAACAATCACCTCTAAAAGACATTCCACAAGAAGAAAGGGATTTCACAACAGCTATAACTCTAATCAATACATTTTTCCAATAATTTATTTCTGTTTCTACTTGATACTTTAGCTTTTGATCAACTCGATTTAATACTTTTTTTCTTTCTTTCATAATTATTACACACAATTTGTGGTGTTGTGAATTTTCATGACGCTTGATTTTTTCTTCTTTTTTCCAATCTGAAATACCAGCTGTGGCAAGCGATGTAGTACCACTAAGTAAATAGCAGGAAGCACAAAATATTGATCCTTTACTTTCTGTGTAAATCAAAAATGTTCGGTTACTTTTTTCACTATTAACAAGAGTAGATACAAAAATACTTTTTGACAAATATTGAAAACGAGTACGCCTTATCCCACCAATTATTTGATTGTAAATTCTTTTTGACTTTTGAAAATTATTGTTCTCTAAACTTTGATTAAATCCATTGATTGATAAATAATCTATTGTTTCTTGATTTTTTATCCAATTGGCAGGATCATTTCTAAGGAGAAAAAATATTTGTTTAATATAGAAAAACCAAAAAATATTATCGACAGTTTATAACAAATTATATAAAAAAAATTCTACAAAAAACATTCAAGCATTAGACAATAGAGATAAATGCATATTATAATATAATTAGAAGGTATAGGTATCGTTTAAAATGTACAAAGTGTACTATACTCATTAACAATTTATTTTCTAGTATAGTTTTACATAACAAGTGACTTAAAAAATAGTCTACCTATGTACATGATTATAATTGTAATCTACCATAAAAAAAATTAAAAAAAGCGTACTCAGGAACAATACATTGTTTAGGAAGACTGTTATGTTCAACCATTGGCAAACGTGGTGTATCATTTATTTCTTCCGATTTTGTAGACAGTAGAGTTTTACTCGTTTCTGTGCTGCTGTTATTTAATAATATAAGGTTGTCTGGATTTGTTAGATTATCTTTATTACCAGTGAATTTGTGATCGTTTTGGTTTCTATAGAGAAAAATATAATAAATTTTATATAACATGCATGTACTAAATATAGCATGCATGTACCAAAAGATATTACTTATAAATTATATCAAAATTTAAATAAAGGTTTTACAATAAACATACGGGCTTGTTATGTTCATGCATGGACAAACAGGGTGTTTCATTTAGTTTTTCG